CTCTCTCTCTCTCTCTCTCTCTCTCTCTCTCTCTCTCTCTCTCTTTTCGCTGACATTAGTTTGACGAGAGCTTGATTTCCCCACGACGCCACACAGTAGACTTTGTGTGACGTCATCTTCCACTGCACACTTCCGCCGGTCGCCTGTCGTTCCTCGTGGTGTGAACAAAACTATCAAGGCGTCTACAATAATCTCATTCTCACACCGAAAAGATAAACATTTAACACCAAAGATCGTACACAACAAGATAGTTCACTCCTCTGTGGCACCCTTTTCGAAAAACCGCGGACTTTACGAAAAGAGTTCCCCTACTTGTGTGGGGAAAAAAAACACAAATAAAAGTGAAACCAAAAAACTGCGCTATTCCTATTCTTCTTCTGGAGAAACGGAAGAGAGTTCTAAAACAAAGACTGCAGCGCCATCTGAATCAAAGGGCGGACTTCCGCGGACACATTTTGGCTGAGTGAACTATTTTGTTATGAAAGATTTTTGGTGACAGAAAAAATCTACAGCCAGGAGAAAGCGAAGCAGTCGATTGTTGAAAAATATGGTGTACAGTTTTCTTGAAGTAAACCTTGATTTAAACCAGCTTTAACAGGCACGATCAGCAGGCAGACCCTTTCATGGATCCTGGAGAGGAGGGAGGACCAGCTATGGCATTGTGCCGTCTGCAATGATGACTGTTCTCCAACCAAGGAAGTCAGTAAATAAACTGTGTAGTTGTAGTTGACGACTCTCCTATGACCTGGGACAGACGCTGAGTTGACTCTGTGTGTGTGTTTGTGTGTGTGTGTGTGTATGTGTGTGTGTGTGTGTATGTGTGTGTGCGCGTGCGTGTGTGTGTGTGTGTGTGTGTGCGTGTGTGGTGTGTGTGTGTGTGTGTGTGTGTGTGTCTGCTTGTTTATACCTCCAGCCTTCCTTCCTTCCTTCATTCCGCTTCTATTCTTTTCTCTAGTTCAGTTTCTATACGAGAAAAACTTACAAAGAAAAGAAGGAGAAGAGACAAGGGCGGTAGGTGTTGGGTAATAATTAGGAATGAAGGAACAAACCATAATATTTTGCTTTATGCTTAAATGTTTCCAGGTTTTTTATGTAGGCTAGTTTTTACACCCCCATCATTACAATTTAAGTTCACAAAAGAGTGACAGACAAACAGAAGAAGTAGAGGAAAAAAATGACGATAGTAAGGATGAGGAAAGAAAAGCAGCAGTTCCCCCTATGCTGTTCCGTTTCAGTATGAGCATGACATTGATAAATCAGCCCATTTACAATTCCACTGTGTATAAGAACATGTTAATATCCCCCCTTTGGGAATAGCCTAAAGACACTTCAGTCAGTGGCACTGCCCTTAG